CTGAAATTGACATTTACAATCTTTGAACTCATGGATTTGAGATGAGGTCTCCAGAATTAGCTAGCTCTGTCTCCACAATGTAACAGAAGAAAGGCTTCTTACCTATCATTCTTTCTAAAGGAAAAACAAATTCTCCAGAAGTGTGAGTTCAGACAGCTCAGGGCCATCCAAGTTGCCATGGAGACTTAGTAAACCCTTAAGAGCCCAGGAGTTGGGTGCTGTCTAGCCTGACGCTGTCCAATAGAAATAGAATGTTAGCCACAAATGCAAGTCATATATGTAATTTAAAATTTTGTGGTGGCTACATTAAAAAAATTTAGAAATGTGAAATTAATTTAGTAATATATTGTATTTAACCTAATGTATTCTAAGTATTGTCATCTCAACATTTAATCAATATAAAAATTATTGAGATATTTTACATTTTTCTTGTCCTCTGTTTGAAATCCAGTATGTACTTTATACTTACAGCACACCTCAGTTTGGGCTAGCTTTATTTCGAGTGCTGTGTGTGGCTAGTTGCTACTAAAGATCTAGCCTCTTGTGAAGAGGCCAGAATGGGGTCTCAGAATGTAGAAAGGCCTCCTTGTTGGATTGGCCGCTCCCATGGCCTGCCTGTGTGTGTTCTTGTGACTCCAAGATGTGCTTGCTTTTGGGCTACTAACTCATGTCCTAGTGGCCATTGTTTCCTGTGGTCTGAGGGACTCAACTTTAGCCAGGTTTCCTGGCACTCTGCCAACTTTCCTCTGTGCTTCCTTTCTTCCCCTTCAAGTCCTTGCATCTCACTGTGATATAATTCAAAGCTACTATGGGGTAGGATCCAATGGCCCGATCTAAGCAGGAAACTGGCTTTCTCATTTTTTATTTGGAACCATGAAGCAGAAAATGTCAGACACTTGTTTTCAGTGCTTCGTTGAGCTGGAACTGAATTGAAACACAACTATTTCCCATGGGGCCTTCTGACATGGAATGATTTAGAGGCTTCAACTGTTAGATCAAGAGGACTAGTTAGAACATGAACTGACCCTAACCTTTCCTTGCTTTGATCATTATCACTGGCTGTCTCACTCTTTGCTTAGAATCTTATTAGTCACAGGCTACAAAACCTTATATGAGGCTGGGGTATCCTAATGTACTTTGGGAATATTCCAGCAAGTATTCCACAAAGTATCTCTGTGTAAAAGGTCTTGGTCTAGGTCTCTGTCCCAAAGCTCTTTGTGAATTCCACAATAGACAGTCTTGTCTGTCCCCACGTAGCTCTCTCCAGTGTGGTCTGGGCACGTAGGTACTGTCTACTGTATGGTGGTACTATATACCACTGTGGCAGACATGTTGGCTGCCTGTCCAACAGCCATTGTTCCTGCTTTTGCTGTAATTTAGCAGAGCACCTGTTACAATATGGCACCTGCTACGATAGAGGCTGACAATAACAGATTCATGCTTTCCCAGACTCCTTTGCAGCCAGGAATGGCCCATTTCTTCCAAAAAGACACAAGTGAAAGTATTTTGAGAGAGCTTCTGGGAAATATTTTCCTCCCTGATAAAAAGAGAGACATGAGAGAATGACTCTTTTGCGACTCTGGTTGCTTCCTTCTTCCTGAGGTGGTTGTGATGTTTGTAACCAAGGCAGCTATTTTGGGACCATGAGGCAACATGCCTGAGGATTAAAGTGGAGTCTTCTGAGGATGCTGAGAATGAAGAGGAGGATGGAAAGAGATTGCATCCTTGATAATATTGGTGAACAGCTGCACCAAATCTGGAGCAGAACTTCCTACTTTTAGGAATGAAACTACTGTTGTTTAAACCACCATTAAACTGGTATTCTGTTACTTGCTGACAAAAGCATTCTAACTGGTATGGATGCATAGTATTTAAAGATATATTATTGTCTTCTGTTTCTTAGAAGGAGGAAGTCACTGGAATACTCTTCCTTCAACCTTATGACCTGGCTACCTCTTACTCATCCTCATCCCCACACTTCTCCATTTACTTGTCAGTTCGCCTCATAAAGTTCTTGTAAGGGTGGAGTCCGTGACTGTCTGGTTCACTATTGTAGTCCCAGTTCCTGTTATGTAATAAATAGTTATTCAATAAATACTTGTCAATGAATGAAAGAATGGGGGTTATCAAAGAGGTAGAATCTCTAGAATTTGGTTATTGCCTAGAGGTGAGAGAGTGAAGTCAAGAATGGCACACTGTTTCTGGCCTGTGTAGTTGGCTAGAGGGTGCTACCTTTCCCCATGAGTCAACATGAGATGGTGAGCAGAATAGTTGAAGAAGATGAGTTTGTCCTGGATGTGTCGAAATTGACGAGGTGCTTTTGGAATAGTCCCTTTAGACGGTTGAACATAGGGTCTGGATTGAAGCTAAAGAAAGATGGGATTGGCCAGGAAGAATGTGTAGCATGAGAAGTGACTCTTCAGTGCTCCCATCTCATTGTGTGGCACCACCGTCCACCTTGTTGCCCAAGCTAGAAATCCTCTATGCTTCCCTCTCCCTCACCTCCCACATCAATCCATCACCAAGTATTGAGGATTCCAGCTCCTGTCTCTCATACTAATAAATTTCTCTCCATCTCCCGTGCCACCACTGGAGTCCAAGCCAACCACTTCTCTCCTGCGCTACTGCAATGGCCTTCTGATTGGTTTCCCAAATCCATTCCAATGCCCTTTCACTCACTGTATTCCAGCCACATCAATCTTCTCTCACTCCTTAAAAGCACCAACTCCTGGTCTCAAGGCCTTTATCCATGAGGATCCCTCCACAAAGAACACTGTTCTCTCCATCCTCCACCTTTCTCCTCCTGCTCCTCCTCCTGCCCTTCTCTATTCTTTAGGTCTCAGCCTAAATGTCACGTACTCAGGGAGGCCTTCCCTAACTCCCCTGCTCCATCCCCCACCCCGTGTAGCCTTGGAATTAACATTCTTGAAACACCATGGGGTGATTTGGCTTTGGTGATATATATGGGAAAATAAAACTTCAAAAGACATATGTATCAAAATTAAACTATTAATTAAAATGAGAAATGTAGCTATGAAGGATCAGAAACTCATGTTGGACAAGTACATTTTCTCCCCTAGAAGGGAAATCTACACACGGAGCCAAATAGCTTGTGAATACAGGATCAGACAAGGGGCATTAGCTGCTTGATCTAAATAAACTGGTGAAACCATGATACCCCAGTGCACCCATTTCACCACAGAGATCTCCCTTGACACCTGTTCCTGGGCCACCACCCCCAGTGCTGAAGACCCCCTGCCTCTCTTTGCCTCCAACTCCTAAACTTCAGTGGCTGACCTGCTACCCCATAAGATGTAAGCTTGCTTTAGCTCTGTTAACACTTACCTGGTTAATATTTAATAAGGTTAAAGTCAGACCTGGGAGCAGTATTTTCTTTTAGATGATTTGGCAATTGTCTTCTCTGATCTATTCTATATATTTTATAGTTCAATTTTATGAGCTGTGAAAGCAAACTATTGTAGGATTTATCTTCACTTCTTTTAAAGTCTATAATTTACTATATTGTTTAGATTCCTTCAGGATCTGCTGATTGTTTTAGTAAGTGGAACTCTGTAGCCTCGAAGCTACAAACCTTCTAATGGTCTGGGGGTTGTCCATGCAGGATCAAAAAGGAGATTTAACTCTAAAGATTGAAACCTTTTGGAAGGAGTTGTTAGATAAGACTGAAAACATTCATCTGTATAAAACCTTGTTCTATACTTAACAACCACGAAAACATTCTTGTAAGGTTGTCTGTAAGAAGCCCCTTTGGAAACTGCTGATCTCCCATGAACTTCACCTTCCATCTCAACATGTTCAACACTAATCAAGTGTCATGGATAACAAGCAAATGGCACCTGTAACTCCTAAAGGTAAATAGTGTCTGGAATCTTGAGCAGAAGAACCTCAAAACCTCTGTTTTCTACCTCAGACCAAAGGGGGCATTTAGTGACCAGATCACTCTCATAAATTTGTTATCTTGAAACAATAGGTAGGAGAGGTTTTGTTTTGACAGAGGGCACTCCAATGGGGCCAATCCATTGTGGCCTCCTTTTGTTTCTTGTTTGGGCAGCTTTTGAAACTTGTTGGAGTAAATTTCCATTCTTACTATGTTTTCTTTCAGCTGTGCTAACCATGGAGGAAAGGAGGTGGAAGAGAAGTGTTTCAGGTGACAGAGACAAGCACAGGCAGTGACTTCACCCTCAGGGGAATTCACCCTCAGGGGATAGCATTCCAAGAAGTTGCTTGTCCTAGAGATCTGACCCCTGAGGCACGCCATGGCCCCGGGTCAGCCCTGATGCGGTGCCCAGGGCCTGTCTGGGAATGCATGGAAGCTGGGTCTCAAGACATTTATCTCAAAGTGTGAGGAGCATGCTCTGAACAGCTGTAACTGTCTTCAGTAATTCATTTTCATCCCTGAGCAAGGAGAACAATGGATAGTTGAGAGGATACCCAAGGGGAAGGGCCCATAAATCTGAAATTGAACAGGGTTTGCTCAGCTATACATCTGGTGCTATCACCAAGTATAAGAAAGGAATAAGGAGTCTAGCACATCTAAATGTAAGCAATACATACTTATGTATGTGACTGTTAATATACACCATAGCTATAAAAGGCATATATGACTTTTAAACAGAATTTACACAAAACTGAGTTGTGAGTATAATTTATTCGTATTCTTACATAGAAATTTGTTATACAGACAATAGGAAAGAATACAAGTACTCCCCAAGAAAACTAATAAAATACTCACTTAATTTTAGGATAATATTTAGTAACAAAAATTGTTTGAGAAAATTAATATTTAAATTAATGTACAAGGCTTTAAAATGTTCCTATTTATAAGGCTGTGTGAGCACAGAGGAAGAAGGTATGTAATTAGCACATGGGAGCTCCATTCTGAAGATCAACTTGGAGACATTTTAGAGGCCTCAGGTTCACTCAACCATGGCCCAGGTTCTTCACTCCTGGTTCTCTTTGGTTATGCTTGTTTTTTTTCCTGTCCTCCCGCCCAACTCTTATTTTGCAAATTCCCTAACAAGGGAGATTTCAGTTCAAACACTGAAAATTTAGTTTTTTCACAGGAATATACATGACTCTATGACAGTTGCAAATTCCTGGTTTCAAAAGGCTTTGGTCACAGGGTTTTTCAATTGGAGCAATGTTTGTTTTCAAAAGGAAGAAGTGAACTTCTCCCTAAAATATGTGTAGGTTGACTTCCCTTCTTCTGTTAGTCATTCAGCAAACTGTATATTTTGCACTGAGCACTGCAAACCCAAAGAGGAAAAAAACCTTTAGGGTTCCACAGGTTCACTTTCTGAATCCTCCAAAATACTGAATTGATACATCCCGAAGTGGATGGTAATGACCATAACCTTCCACCGCCATCTTCAGCACGTTTAGTTATAGAATATTTATAGGACTGATAACTTTTAAATTAAAAAAAAAGAAAAACAAGAGAACCCTGTATCTGTATTTCTTTTTGGTGGTTCAAATATCATTGGTTTCTGAGCGAGAATATTGTGAGTGTGTAGTAAATAATGAATTTTTTTTTACGTAAGAAAATCAGCAACTTCTAAGTACCCAGGAACACTCTGACCTTAACTTTCAGTCTTTACAACATATAAGACATGTTCAAATGAACTGAAAATGTGACCTTAAAGGGCCCTTGGATGTTGCTGACTTGATTCTATGCATTCGTGGCATTTACAAAATCAACTTAGGACTTAAAGTAAAAATAACCTTGCTTAGTATTTTATAAAAATGTAACTTTTCTTTAATATCCAGGAACTAGTGAAGCCAGGATCTTCTCTTATTTTATCTCATTGAAAACAAATCCATTCTAATAAGAAAAAAATAATAAATTATACCTAAAAAGTCCTTTGTAATCTCCAAGAAAAGTGACAGTACAGAATAATTTTGACTGAAAAAATCCCTTTCTCCCTCCTGCAGCTCTGTCAGCCTGAGAAAAACCAACCATCTAGTGTAAGAGAATGCCCCACACACAACAGACAGCATCAAGGCCATTCTGCTGAGGAGCTGGGGAATGAGCTCAGTGATAAGCCCGAAGCCCTGTGATGTTGACCACAGCTGTAATGTGTAACTTGCATTGATTTTTCACAAGCCCAACTGCTTATCAGAGAATTCTGAGTTGACTTTGATTTTGTGACCTTGAATTCCATTCACTTAAGGCTTGATTGGTTTATAGAGCTTAATTTTTAATACTGTGAATATCACGTAGCCAACAAAACACCAAGAATATTAATAAATATTAATAATTAGTTCCAGTCTCACTTCCTCTCTCTGTTGGAGCACTTTGACTTTATAAATATGTTACAGTCTTAGCACCAACGCCCCACTAGGGTTTAAAATTCCATAGCCAGGGCACATCATCTGGATGTGTCTATCACATCTTTGGGGATGTTCCTGGAGTCTAAAAGAAAAATACAAAATTAGCATAAGAACAGATCACCAATGGGTTAGAACGAAAGTTGTTACTAGTGAAAAACAAGTTTTCTGACACCCTGGAAGTCAACTGGGGCAGTTCATTGGAAATGACTTGTGACCATAGCTGTGGATGGAGGTTGCTGTCACAAAGGGCTTTGAACCATCTTTTTCTTGGCTTGCAGGTAGAAGATGCGGTTTTCTTCAGGATAAGTGGCTTTACTGAGGGGCATCTTGTAGATGTTGGGGTTTTTCGTGGTCAGCAAGAGGAACAATAGTGTGGCCAAACAGAAGGGCCAGGTACCAGATGGCAATCCAACCTGGGAAGAATAGACAAGCCACACATTTCTTTGAGATCCCATCAGAAAACTAATGCACACAAAGCACTACCCTTCCCTCTAATCTCATTCAGCTCAGGGGGATGAGTCACTGGACTATTGTTCTGGACTTGGCTTCTGTCCATGGAGACTGAGTCTAAGATCTCAGGGCATTTAGCAGTTGAAATGTTATCATTTGTTCCTTAGAGTGGTCAGTTAGATCTCTGTCTTGTATATCTTTCCCTCTTTCTCATACATTCAGACTTCCTACACCAGATGTACATACAGAGATGATACTTAGCAAACTACCAATAGCATCACATTCACTAGGCCTTCTTTGCCTAGTTCAGCCTGCAGTGACCTCTCTCTCCTTGACTGCCATCCAGACTAGGTCTTGGACTTCACTTGCTTTACTTCTTTTCATTCCATCTCCCAAATAGACTCTAAGCTCCTTGAGGGTAAGTCCTTCTGTGCTGTCCATGGCAACTCATGCAATTCTGTGCATATATCATGCACTTGGTTAGGTCTGGCCCTATGCATGGACTCTCTGGGGTGTGATGGTACCCAAACCTGACTGCACATCAGAATCATGGGGAGGGGTTAAAAAAACCACAGATGCCCAAGCACCATACAAGATCCACTCCATCAGAAATGCAAAGGAACAGGGCTTAAAGGTCTGTATCTTTCAAAATCTCCCTAGCTGACTCTGTTGTGCAGCCTGCCCAATTCTGGTCCATGGACTGATGCCTGTGAACCTTTGTTGGGATGCAAAGGGCCCCACAATGCTCTAATGGACTTCCCATCATGCCTGTGATGGGGTTTTGACTTTCTACCAGAGAGATATTGTGCCTTCCAGATAAACTCTCTATGCGGCTGCTGAGAGGGCTAGATATTGTCCTGACTCATTAGCAGCCATGACCACGTTGACATGGATTGAGCTATCAGAAACTGGCCCTACATCACCTGCAATGGTGGGTGAGGAAGAGAGAAAAAAGTGCAGGGCACTGGGAGGTGGGGGATCCTGGAAGAGTCAGGGGACACTGGGCTCCTCAGGAGAGGGGAAGGAGAAGGTCAAAGGGTAGGACAGTGCTGAAAAGGAAGGAGAAAGAGTGGCAGGAGGCACTTAATGGGCAATGATTTTGCCTATTAAATAATTCAACCAGGACATGGGTCTGAATAAGTCTTCTTGATGACTGGCTGGGGATTTAAAAAAAGACAAAAGGTATGAAAAATTATTGACTTGATTAAAAAAAAAATCTGAGTCTTTAGCCAATTATCCTTTTCCTCCCTTTCCTGATTTCTCAACTACTACATAATCCTGGCTTTCTGTTTAATAAAAGATATTCTAAAGTCAACGTCTCTCTTTTTTTTTTTTTTAAGTCAACTTCTTGACACTCAGAGTTAGACTGTGAACTTCATAATATGTTATGCAACCTAAGTTTCAATTCTTAAAATCAAGGAATCAGAAATTCTTAACAAGCCTGGTGATTGTAGTTTGGACTAAAATTTACTACAATGCTGGAAGGTGAGTGAGGACAGGCAGGTCCAGGAGATGGGAAAGTAGTGGCTACCACAGTCATGGATCCTGCCATGGGGCTCTACCCAGGTAGACTTCAGGAGGGTTTCCATATCATTGAAAACTGATCAATCATGCTGATGATAAAAGCGAGATTAAAGCAAACTCACCACAGCCATCAGGTTTGACATGCTGCTTCCGAGGTAGGCAGTGAACAGGGCTACAAAAAAAGGAGAAAGAACAATGGTACATTTCTCATCACAGGAAAGACTGCTTTCCAGTATAAATCCCCTGGAATGGAAGCTTTGACATTTTGCCAGCTAGGCTAGTACCCTGGTTATAAGTATGAGCTTAGAGTCAGCAGCTCTGGGTTCAAATCTGGACTCCACCACTTATGAGCTTGGTGGCCTCCATTTCCTCACCTGTATAATGCAGATAATAGGAGTATCTCTCTCATGGGGTTGGTGTGAGCATGAATGGAGATAATGCTTGTGCTTAGCACACAGTAAGTACTCAATAAAGGTAGCTTTTCCGTGGTTACTATTTTGTTGCTGTTATTGCTCATACTTAAGGCCTTCCATTTCAAATAAACTTCCCTGTTATTTGATCCAAGCTTAGTTGAATTAAAATGAAAATTATGAATGTTTCTTGAGATAGCACAGTTTCCATACAATCTCACTGCATCTAGGATTCTCATATCACTGGTTAGAATTCACAGTTACAAAAAATCATGGTATAAAAAAGTAAGAAGGTAGTAACTCAGGGATCAGCAGAAACTGAACACAAACTTGAGATTCCTCCCGACGATAACATTTTTCCAAATACCATTAAGGTTGGTGTACAGGTCCATGTAGAAACATGATATATATATATATTTTTTTGGCGAGGAAGATCAACCCTGAGCTAACATCCATGCCAATCCTCCTCTTTTTGCCGAGGAAGACTGGCCCTGAGCTAACATCCCTGCCCATCTTCCTCCACTTTATATGGGAGGCCGCCACCGCATGGCCCGACAAGCACTGCATCAGTGCGCACTCAGGATCCGAACCCGGGCCGCCAGCAGCGGAGTGCGTGCACTTAACCACTACGCCACGGGGGCTGGCCCCCTTTATTTTTTGTGAGAAAGATCAGCACTGAGCTAACATCTGACGCCAATCCTCCTCTTTTTGTTGAGGAAGACCGGCCCTGAGCTAACATCTGTGCCCATCTTCCTCCACTCCATGTAGGACGCCGCCACAGCATGGCTCTACAAGCAGTGCATCGGTGCGCGCCTGGGATCCGAACTGGCGAACCCCGGGCCCCCGCAGCAGAACACGCGCACCCAACCACTTGTGCCTTCGGGCCGGCCCCTAAACATGCTATGTTTTCATTTACTTTGAGCATGAATCTTAGAGTGGTTAATTTGAGTGTGTGTGTGACATTCAATGTAAAACAATGAAAACAAAGATCTCAACTAGCAAATCATCAATTCTTCCATTCTGCTTGAAGAGTGAGCTCAAGGAGGTTCAGGGAAGCCCTTAGGTTTCACAGAGGCAGGCTGAAGAATGGTCTCCATATAATGGCCACACAGCCACTTGGGCCACCAGCACTATTAGACACACTCACCATCTAAGTCTTCATGTACAAATGAGAAATTGCATCAGCTACGTTGAGGGGCGGGACAGGAAGCAGTGGGAGGGACTCTGTGATCCTCATTTAATTTGCTATAGACTTTTGTCCTTTTATCAATATTTTATCTTTATATCCTGGTATTTTTTGTTCAACGGTATACCTAATTCTTTCATATCTGAATTGTCTCATGCTAGCAGGAAAGGTTTGTCTTCGGAAACAGTCCTGGCTTCAAATCCCAGCTCTGCCATTCTGTTTGTTTTATAACAAATCACTGAACTTCTTGGAATCTAGTTTCATTGTCTGTATAAAGGCAATCTGAAGACATGCTTTACAGGGAAATGATGTATCTTAACTAAAATCATGTATTTCCACAAACAGCAGCTGTAAACTCATCCCTGTCACCATGGGATTGAGATATTGCTCTGAGCAGAAGGGTGCAATGGCTTGGGTTGGAAGAATTTCTCTGCTTGGGTTTGCTAATTTCATTTATTTTTTCCATTTCATTCATTCATTAATTCATTCAACAAATATTCACTGGCTCTTGGCTAAGCACCAGGGACACTGTGTCCCTGCTTTCTTGAGTACCAGATATTCTTACAACACTTCTCCTGAGTACATGAGACATTATTGCCATTTCTCTCCTTTTAATACCTATTGTACTTCTAAGGCATGCTTTTGGCACTCAAGTCTCATATTGTTATGCTGTTTTGAAGTGATCTCCAATTCCAAGTTCCTTTTCTCTCCCTAGCAGGAGTGTCACATGATCTAATAGTAGTTGCCCATCAATTAAGACTTGCTGAGTCGGACTGAGAAAGCCTCACACTAGAGGTGGAATTCTGCCCACCCCAGCTTGTAGGTGATGACCCTCCCAGTGTGCTGGGTAGCTGAGGGAAAGCAAAGGCCTTTAAGTGCTAAAGGGAAGACTGGATTTCAGCTCTTCATAGACAACGTCCTTCCCAACAGACCACCATCTGTGAGTCCTACTATGATAACCCAACCATGAAAAAAACATACAAAATGTGTTTACAGTTTGCACTGATAAAATGAAAATGAGGAATTCTCTGGATATGCAGTTTCTGGTTGAAAGGCAGGGAAGGTAGCATTGCCAGGTTCTATCAGAGTTTCCCAAGTCTTCTTTCTGATAAAGCCATTTGGACTAACGGAAGAGCAGCTCTGTAATAAATGTCTGTTATTTATTTACTTTGGCTGAGAAGGTTGGGTCTTTTGACTGGCAGTGTCAGGGTGATGTGAGCAAGCTGAAACTTGCTGTGGCATTTTACATGTGAGATTTGCTTTATGAGAGGGGCTGGAGGTCTGTCTCAAAACTTTATGTCCAAAGATGAAAAAGACTGATAGTAACAGGTACTCTCACACACTATTGGTGGCAGGGAAAATTGGTATGGCCTTGGTGCGGGTGAATTCGGCATCTACTGAAACTAAAATTGGCAGAGCTGGAATTTTGGCACCAGCGTCTGGGCTCTTAACTAATTCAATATGCTGCCTTAACCATTATGCTATACTGGTAAAGAAAATCTGATCCTTCCAAAGGAAGGGAGGCATGCTAGGCAGAATAATGGCTCCCAAAGATATCCATGTCCTAATCCATAGAACCTGTGAATATGTCACCTTACACGGCAAAAGGGACTTTGCCATTGTGATTAAGTTAAATATCTTGAGATGGGAAGATTATCTTGGATTATCCAAGTGGACCCAATGTAATCACAGGATCCTTATGAGAGGGAGACAAAAAAGTTATATCTAAGGAGTGGGATGGACTATTTTAACTTTCTGCTTTATACTTTTCTTTATTGATTGAATTTTTGTTCTGTTTTGTACAATAAACCTATATGACTTCTATAATAAAGAAAGTAACTAAGATATTCCTGCTTTGGGGAAACACATCTGTAAACATCTTTGGCTTCATCCCTCTCCATGGTCTGTCAAGACCTCATTAACAACTCTTGTGACCAAAATAGTTTCTGCTTGATCTTTAAGGATGTACTCAGGCTGTCCCCATGCTGGTCCAGACCACTCTATCCGCCAGCTAGAATTCCTCCTTTCAATTTTTTGGGACTGATAGAAAAGCCACCTTCTCCAGGAGGTACTTCTTGATGATTCTGAACTGTAAAGTTCCTCCAGAGAATTTTGTGCTGTACATGTCTCCTCGTTCTGCTAGAAACATCATATGGTCTCCTGTGGGCTCTCTTTCTTACTCACCTCACTTCTGCCCTCCACTATATCACTGTCTGTATACAGGAATGGCATGGAATCTAAAGCTTCTAAACCCCCAGCTCTTCCTAGTACTGTCTGGGTTGCATCATGAGGATTTAATAGGAATTTGCTGCTATTGTCAACACAAAGGTATGCACACTAAATAAAGGTTTGAAACCTCAAACCAATCTCTGAATAAAGATAGAAGGTTGTAGGATAAAAGATTCTAATCTAGCTGAACTCAAGTGGCCACACAATCTGTCCATAACCTTCTCCTGTTCCCTAAGCTTGTGAACAAATATAGGAGAATGAGCAAAAGTTTTTGACAGGGGCCTTAGGTGAAACAGCCCCGCAACTATAAAGAAATTGACAAAATGACATGTAAATGGCAATACAACTGCAACTGCGTTTTGTTAACCTTGCTACAGCATCGGAAAAGCAAAGTTGAATGAGGCCTTAGAAATCTTTAGTCCCATGCTACTTCCTGCCCAATACAGGAAATCCTTTTAAATCCTGCCTGAGATGTAGTCCGCCATTTTAATAACGGTTTAGATACCTTGGATTGATTAATCTGGTGATAAACTGACCCTAATCACTACATTAGAAATAATTTCTGCACATTCCACTATTCCTTTGCTCCTTTGTCCCCCAGGCAGTGTCATTCCTTTCACTCTAGCACATTATCTTAAATACTTTTACTTGTATTGAATTAGGGATGCCAGAGGCTGTGGGTGAATAAGCTTACCCTTACAATGGCCTGAGAAATCCACTAGCTTTTCAAATCCAAATCACTTGAGGTCTGTTTTCACCTAATGGCATGAATGCTACCAAAGGAAGCAGAGGAGTGTGGCAGGTGTAATTCTGCAGGTTGTTAGCAAATGTGAATTCTGGGTTTGTGTTGACCCCTAACTGACTGGATGCCTGTCAGAACATCACTTTACCCCTTTGGCCTCAGTACCCCAACAGTAAAATGAGAAGGATGGAGTGGAGATCTCCAGAACCCCTTCTACCTCTGACAGGCTGAGTCTGGCTAGAATACGAGGATTTAAGGAAAGGATTAATACAGCAGTTATCAAAATGTGGTCCCCAGAGCAACACCATCAGTACCATGTGGCACCTTGTTAGAAATGCAAACTCCTCCACCCACCTCCAACAATGAATCAGGAACTAGGGATGGGCCCATTGAGAATGGCTAGATGAATGTGATTCTCAAAGGGCCACAGATAATCCCCCCTGATTCAGCCAGGGAAATGGCTCTGTGTTTAGCATGAGTTATTTCCTCTTAGTTTCTTGTATGAAGTATGAAGAACATAGGACAAGTCAAATTTCTATCCCCCAAGATATACATATTGTAAAATGAATTAATACAACTCAACAGGCTCTCCTGTCTTCACAGTAACCAATGAGGTAGGCAGAGGAGACTTGACTCTTCCCAGAGAGGGGATGTCACTTGTCCTGGTCACACACTTAGATACCAGGGGTCACAAACTAGAACCCCAACCCTAGTTTCTCACACTGTCCTTCTTTACTGTTTGCCCTTGATTGTTATCTCATAATCGTGAGCAACCTTCCCCTCAGATGCACGGGATACTCACCGCAGGCAAGAGCCAGGAGGTGGGTTTGCCAGGTGAGCGCCATGAACATTCCTCCAATTGCGATGCAGGCCAGAGAGCTGTTCAAACCCCAGAGTCCATCGTAGATGTCCCCAAATGGAGCCGAAAGACTGAGTCCTATTAGGCAAGACAGGAGGGGTCGGAGCTGCAGACTAAAGGCAGGATGCTCCGTAAGGAGTCTGGGGATGGAGGAGGCATCCAAGAACTCCCATTGGTCCCTTAGAAGCAGAACCCTCAAGAAAGGTCTGGAGTATAGAAGATGTCTGAGACAATGCATGGGATGGAGGAGATGTTCAATATCTGGTAATGAGTCTTATGCTTACCTGCTACTACCCCCACCAACGATCCGATCGCAGCGTGCAGGCACATGAGTGGGGAGGAAAGTAGGAGGGCACATAGGAAAATGCCCCCTGTCCATGGATTATCACAGCCATATATCTGACCAACACCCACAGGCAGGGATTTCAATAACTGCAAAAACAATTTAGAAAATGAGGTCATTAAAATAACTGAACAGAAACCCACAGGACACCCACAAACACATACAACGTGATTTTAGATTTACTGTATCTTATCTTTCAAGATCAGTGTTACTAATTTTTCGAATTCTCTCTTTCTATCTAACTACAGAAAAAAATCTCAGTCATTCTGCTTTATCCGTAGAGATACACTTGCCCTTCCCTGGTGCATACTGATCACGCCTTCTCAAAACTCTCCCTTCACTCACTGGCTCTACTGCTTGCACTGACACTTGGCCTTGGTCGCTGATGAGCTCCCACTGTCACTGCCCCCTACTGTGAGGATCTGCCATGCCTCCCAGAGAGGATGGCAGGGACTACAGCTTACACTTCTATTGTTTTCAACTGTCTGTCAGTGCTGATGCCAATACATCAACACACTCCTATGGTTAACAGAAATATTATTATTACTCCTATGCAATTTGGTTGTTAATACTGAAGCCAGAGACCTGAAGCCAGGTTATCTTACCCACAATTCGGAAATAATTATTGGCAAGTTCATAAATCAGGACCATATTTATACTTCTGTTGTTAACAAGAACATGTATTAATTTACAGGATATCCTCAGCTTATCCTAGTTATTGATAAATGTCAGTCAGTCCTCAAAACACAAAATACACGTAAATGTCACAATTCTACTTTCTGGCTGAGGCCTGAATTCAGCTAATGTGTTCACAGAATGGCAGTTCTCAGAAAGGTACAGAGTTTGACTCAAGCTAATAAATGATAATTATTTATAACAACAATTCTGGTAGAGCCAGGATAGGCATAAATAGCCATGTTAGTTCCATTTTGACCAAGGCTATTTATTGAAAGACGCCTTCCCCACCTCCCATCTTGCTCCTTCCACCTTCTCTAGGTACATGTGTACCTTCTGGCAAGGACCTTCGAGAGGCAGTCACTCTGATAGAGGGAGGCCCAGCTTGGGCACGAGGGACTGTCCTCTCTCTTCTTGCATTAGGCTGGATCTAATGCTGGCTTCCAAACACTGGTTTGGTCCTTGTTCACCAGACGGGACCATGCTGTGAGTTTTTGATTCTACTCTAGGATGGGCCCTAAAGTCTTCCAGCTGTGGTGGATCTTCATGTGCATACAAGAAATATTTCCTGTTTCTTCTAGACCAAGGACATAGGCAAAGACTGCATTGGCTTTTATCTTAGAACTGGACACAAGGACTATCCCTCAGGTAGCCAGGGAGGTGGGGAGTTGGGTGAGATGGGAAATAAGTATGCTGATGATGGGGTGGTAGTTCAAAGTGAGGAGAAGGAGAAGACCCCCACGTCCCCAGATCAGCACTGACCAATAGAACTTTCCATGATGGTGGAATATTCTACATCTGTGCTGTTCACCAGAAATGCGACTAGTGAGGCTAAGAAACTGGATTTTAAATTTTATTTAATTTCAATTAATTTACCTTTAAGTTAAAATAGCCATGTGGGGCCAATAGCTAGTGTATTGGACAGTGCAGTTTTAGATCAATTAATACTATTCTATAGTATTATAAAATAGTATATTATATATACTATTATTAGTATTAGTATATTATATATACTATTATTATACTATATATACTATTATATATATAGTATATATATGTATACATATATATATACACACACATATATATATATATACTATAATGTTATTTTTCATGGGTAGTTCTAATAAATCTTTGATTTTTCTTCTGAGTTATTTCCAAATGGTCCCATTCATCTTCTGGACACGAAGCTAAAGAAAAGGCTCCTCACAAGCTTGGATCACTCAGAGAAGAGGGTGGTAAAAGGTGTTTCATAACCTGATGGTGGGAAAGCCAGTCTTTCGCACGTTATAAAAGGTAAGGTTTCTTTGATTTTCTTCTGATATCAAGTGGTCTCTTGTTTTTAATAATCAAGAAAACTTAAACAGACTTATTAAATAAACACCAATAGGAAGAGCTGGAATTCGATTTGGTTTTTAAGAACGAGTGCTCTCTCTACGCATATCTGTAAAATGATACATAGCATACATCCCACGATAGTGGTTCTCAAACTCTGGCGCACATCACGATTGCTTGGGGAGCTTGTTAATACAGGTTTCCAGGCCCTACTCCCAGAGATTATAATTTAGGGAGTCTGAGATGGAGCTTGTATTGGTATTTAAAAAACAATGATTCTCATGCCTACCAAAGCTTGAGCACTCTGAATTATTGTACACATTCTATGAGATCTACCATAAGAAAAAGCAGAATGAGAGGTTCTGTAACGGGATATAAGAGTAAGCAGCCAGTTCTTTTGATTGGAGGAGGTAAGTTTTGGAGGATTCAACCCCAGGCTGGAGGCTCCTACCTCAAGGGCTGGCCCCGTCACACCCACCCAAACAAGGGCCAAGTTTGAAATAGAGTGTTTGATTTCCAATGGAGCTATACTCTGGAGTTAGTACTGCAGATTTCAGGAAAAGTTAGCTTTGACCAAATAGTCATTTAAGAAATCCCTTAGATCCCAAAGCTTTGGCCTAGAACAAATGCTTTAGATGGCAAGATGAAGGCAGCAAGGCCACCCTCAGACTGAGTCTCTATAAGGCTCTGACACCCATGAACAATTCACCAGGAGGACACTGGGCATCTTCCAGAGCCAGGGGGAATGTGAGAAGATAATACCTCTTACCTGCAGGGCACTGAGGTCAGACCAGGTGACATTGGCAACTGAGGTTACAGGTGTGAACAATTTGCTTGGGAAGAACAAATTGTAATGTCCTGTGGCCGAAAGATACATTGACAACGCCATGTTGAAGGGCAGGGTGAAGACAGGGAGGTCCCATTTGTGGAACACAGAGCTCAGTGCACTTGAGAAAATTGGGCTAAAAACAACAACAGAACAGAATGGAAGAATATGCACGAGACAAGCCAGGTTGACAAACTGAATTTCTATACTATGAAAGGGCTTTAGTTCATCAGCAAATATGTCCCTAAAATTCTGTGTTGGCGAACTTTTCACAGAATAAACGAAGCAAAACAACAACAACAAAAAAACCCAAAAAGCAACCTGGGATAAATTGTGTCATAGAATAATTCTTACATAAAGTCAAAAATCAACTCTTATATTATTCGGCTTTTAAAAAATTATACCCTGCGGTTGCTCACAATGAGTTATATATCTAGGGTTTAAAAATATTTTTGAAGTATTTAAGATATATGAAATAAAATACTAACAACACAGTTAAAGTGTTCTGTGTAACCTACTTGATCATATGTCCCTCCTTCCCCACCAGAGGCAACCACAATCTTGAACTTGTATATCATCTCCACGAGTCTTTAGTATATCTAATTTTGGAAAAGAGAAACAATTGTCCAAGGGAGGATGCAGGTGATGTGGGCTGGAGGAAACAGATCTTAAGTGCAGGGAGGCAGAGTTTTAAGTGTTGAGCAGTTGATGAACTGTGTGACCTTGGGAAAGTTACCACTCCTCAGTTTCCTTGTCTATAAACTGGGGGATTGGATTAGATGGTCTCTGGGTCCCTTTTGTGCTCTCACTTGTTGACCCAATCAAGGAGCCATCATTTTACGATCAGACCTCCAGATTTCCTGGATTGTAGGAGGGGCTGTGGTGAGCACCTGTAGGCGATACCTCCTGCCCTTGAGCCTTTTCTTAAGAACAGGTTGGAAGTTACTTCCTGAGAAGGTTGGCTCTACCGCAGGTTCTCTTCCACACACTTGTGGGAGCAGCCAGGGTGGGTGGCCCTCCCGCAGACACTGTCCACAGTGGGCTGTTTTTCTAATTTGTGTGGATATTAGTACTTTATATTCTAAACATGCTATTTAGAAGGAAATGTTTGCTTCCAAAAAGAGGATTTAAGATAGTGTCAATGTAGAAACTAGTTTGAAGGATTTAGGGTAAAAAAATAAAATGAGTTGAATGCAGTAAAGAATTTTTTTGAAGGGGCGGGGCAGGTGGGTAAGAGGAGTTCGTATAGGCACAGTGGTTCTCAAAGTGGGGTCTTTGAGTCAGCCACACCATCATCACCTGGGAACGTGTTAGAAATGCACATTTCAGGTCCCACTCCAGATAGACTGAGTCAGAAACCCTGCAGAGGGGAGCAGTAGTCTGCTTTAACAAGCCCTGCAGGTGATTCTGATGGTGCACAAGTGTGAGGACCACTGATGTAGGGACTGGTTCTCAACTTTTGTTGCACTTTCGAACCCCTTGGGAGCCTTTAAAACTCCCAATGCCCAGGCAACACCCCAGACCAAATGCATCAGAATCTTGGGTGGTGACATGGGTATGGAGGACCACATGCATCAGTGTGTTTTAATGCTTCCTGTTTCCAATAGACATAACCTGAATCTAAGTTTTAAGAAATTATTTATTTTTCTAAAAATTGTGTTATATACATAACGTAAAATTTACCCTTTTAACCATTTGAAAGTGTGTGGTTCAGTGGCATTAAGTACATTCACATTGTTGTACAACCATCACCACCATCCATTCATGGAACATTTTTCATGTTGCAAAACTAAAACTCTGTACCCATTAAACAATAACTCCCCATACCCTTCTCCCCGCTACAAATTTTTTTTTTTAAGAGCATTTTGAAAACCAGGTACAACTTACCAAGTCATGGACATAGCACATACAGGAAATAACAGCCACCAGAAATAGTTTCCCTTGTCTGAAAAGACTGCTATGAGTACTCCCACCAGGGTGGCATTGTAGCCCTGGAGCCCCGCTGCAATTGCTGACCTGCGGGCAAGAGCACAGCACGGACATTTCCCAGGTGGACATTGGCTAGATTTGCACATGAATGACACTTGCAACTTCCAGATCATACTCACATTAGAAAATGAGATTATATCTAGAAATCTATTTCAAAGTCTATAGAAGCCAAATACTAATAAAAACATGAAAAAACAAAATACGCATAGATAAAATACAAATATGCATACAGAACAACCCCCTCCAGAGGCATTATAGCTAAAGATAGAATTCTAAATTCTAAAGATAGAATTACGGCATCTAGTAGAGGAAAGAAAAATCAGCAAGGCAACCTGTTCTGCTTCCTTTTAGCCTTCCTTCCTTTACTTAGCCTTCGGGAAGTTATTATTTCTTTTAACTCTTTAAGGGCCTCTGACTTGAACAGAATTTTTAGTATCATGAAACTGTTTCCTAAGTCTGATTTCTTGGTGAGAGATACAAGATTCTTGAAATGTAAATGCACATTCTTAGTGTCTGTGACCTTATAAACACTAATCTTCCAACTTAGCATATATTTTCATTTTCCTGTGCTTCCATTTTGTTGTCTCCAAATATACATTTCCAAGTTATTACAAAGAAAAACAATTACTTTTCTTTTACTTGGCAAAGTATTCCATGTAATTAGGTGCATATCTAACACTTAATTCTTTCTTGGGTCTCTTTTTGCTCCTCAGCATTTAACCTCACTTCTAAAAGTTGTCCAAAGGGTAAGTTTGTACTCCTTGGTACAAATGGCCAAAATGGTTCCCATTTCATAATTGGGAACTAGAAGCGCCAAGTGACTTCTGCAGAATGAATTCTACATATATGAATCACTTATATTCATTTGGGCAAGAATATTAGGGTGGACTCCCTGTTTAAAAGTCCTTTGTCTCCCTTAAATAATCCTTTGGGACATGTGGGAGGTGACACAATTTGTATTGGTTTAACTCAGGAAGTGATAATGCCCTCCACAAATTGGGACTATAAATGATGACACATGATGAGTGAAGAACTATGCAAAGATTCGTCCTCTCAACAACTGACTTGCAGATTTAATGCCTGGGTTTGATCAACAAAAAATTAATGGCAACATCTACAAGTTGTGGAATGTCACAGTTAAAGCAACAGGAAGATACGTATTCACTTAAAACAGAGAATTGCCATTTTAACAGTCCTTTAGGACCAAAGAAAGTAAAAGAGACTTGAAAACTAACACATGTAAATACGACTTGTCTTTTAAAAAATACTGATAAGGCAAATGGGTCAACTTTCACTGGAGTAAAACAATGAAGGGATATTCAATATAGCACAATCCTGGACCACACCTTCAAAGTGGAAAGACTGTTTCTTGATACATTGGAATAGGGTTTAAGCAAGATACAAAATCACCCTCTACATAGAACATATCAGGCTCCTTGGACCTGATGGGAGAGTGGAGCATTTCCTGACTATCTCCTTGAGAAGCTCCTTAGGCAATTTACAGTAAGAGTTACAAGAACTTAGTTGTATAATGACCATTCACTGGGGATTCTGCATTGATCCTGGACACCTAGAAGACCGGCAGGCTCCCTGAAGGAACTGGTTAGTCAGGAGCTAACTAGTCCCCTGGTGGGAGCCAGCTCATCACTTCTTCAATGTCAATTGATATTCAATTTATAAAATACATGCTATTTTTAACCTAACACATATTTTAGAAGACAGACTAACACTTCTTAAGTCAGGACTTGCTAACTGGGAATTTGTGGTTATTCAGCTCTCTGGAAGCTGACCTGACCTTTGCACTGTCTATGAAGAATGATTTGCTAAACTAAGCATGGAAACAAGATACAATGAGATTAGTGGGATTTTTAAGCCTCTAAGATGTTTCATGAACTCATATGTGCTTTTGCCCAAACAAACAAAATGCTGATGATAGATAATTGATTAATCATTAAAGAAGATCCCTTTAGAACCTCTCCTGGGAATTACTTGTAGCTTAGTTTTGGTTACCATGTACTGCTGTGAGAATCTGGTAGCAGTCAGACTGGCCACTTATTCAGATACCATGAATAAGAGGCCACAAATGATTCCCTGACCTCTAACTAAAGACAATTATAAAGAGTTCTATGGAATAAAGGCCGTTTCTCCGGAGAAGCGTGGGGCTTGATCTCTGCTGCCCACACTCACTGGTTGGCTCCTGTGTTCTCAGAAGTGAGAGGAACAGGCCTGGATGGACATGCCTACCTGTCCTGACCCAGCAACAGGGCCGTCAGGGTGGAGACCACCGTTCCCACACAGCCATTGAGAGCCCACCAGGGGTTCTGGACCAGGAGTCCCACCACAATCAGGATTCCGCTGATGGGGTTGCTGACAAACACCACTTGGGATATGCCCCTAAGAACCCAGTCAATGAACTGGAGTACCCAGGGTTTGTCTGGAAGAGATGAGATGGGCAGAGGTAAGGAAGTGGCAAGGCAAATGGTGCTCCTTCCCAAGTCCAGGCCCCCGCTGAGCAAAATCATCAAAATCCTGTCTGATGAAGGTACAGATTATTTTTGATATTCCTTGAAGCTTTTTCTCTCTGAATGCTTTGCCCCTTTAGTGGCACCGGATCCCGAAAGCCTCCAATTTCTTTACTCTCAACCCACACGGCCCATACTAGAACTTCAGCTCCAGAAAGCATCGAATGCACTTATTTACCATGTTCAGAGGTTCAGATGCTTAAGCCAAAGGAATGAATTACCAATAGTAAAATTTCAGTTTTTAAGTACTGAAATTACAGGATGGAACCAGGTGTCTTCCTCTGATATGAGGAGGGCCCTGGCCCTAACCACTATCTGCATAAAAATAATTTTAAGAGGACTGCATGTCCTTTATTTTCCGACAAATAAAATTTTCCAGAAAATAAAAAGTTAAAAAATGGAGAGGGAAGAGATAGATAAAAGGTAAGGGAATATAACTAAAGATATGAGTAGAAGAGCCGGCAAACCATTTCCCTCAAAGCCACTTCTCCCATCTCTCCAAGGGATGGAAGCATAAATACCTTTAAGCCATTTGGCAAATTCTCTCATATCACCGGTGACATAGCGAAGCACTTTGGGGAAGCACCTGCTCCCTTGACGTGGTGAAACCTGGTTTTCACCTTCATCCACTTTAATCATAGTGGGGCTGTTCTCCATGGCTGTCTCGTCCTCTGATTCCTTGAGGAAAGAACAGAGTTCATAAACACTGTAATACAGGACATTCCAGACTGGTCAGCATTGGGCTTGGTCACAGTAGCCACAGAGGATAGGTTTAAAGGCACTTCATCTGGACCATGACATCCCATGAGACTAAGAGACCACATTTTCCTCTTGAAATAATGCCACAGAGATTATTACCCAAATCCAAATGCCCTACTACTTTTGTCCTCACTGTCTTTACTGCTACCACGAGAAGGTTCTGGTTTTCAATTTCATAAAGTTCAGTTTCTAGTTCAAAAAACATTTATTGAGCACCAAATCCTGCACTCAAAGAGCTCAGTCTAGTGGAAAAGACTGAAAACCAGTTAATTTCAACATAAGAGTCAAATAATAATATAGAAAGAGCTAAGATCAAGTGCTTAAGCTTCATGCCGTCAATTCTAGGAGCCAGACATCAGGTTACGAAATGGCCTGCTCACTAACGCAGACCAATCAGCTACTTTCCAAGTCAAGCAGCCCTTCGAAATTAAAATTTTATTTTACAGTAAAAGGTTTTATTTTTAAAAATTTGAAAGGAAAGAAAAATTTTAAAAAGTTTGTGTCAACACAGCCTAAGAAACCCCCTCATACACACTCGCCAAGCTTGTATGTGTGAAAATACAAATTTCAAAAACAGGCAAGAATAATATTCCACAAATATATAGAAACTGGAAAAGGTGGAAGTGGACAAAGCTGTTGAAAACCAAAGAGTTGTGATCCAAGAATTGTATGATACAAGAAGGTACAGGGCATAATTATAGTAAGCATGCCTTGGGAAAATGCTAACAATAGAACCATGACTTGTGTTCACTACGAGACTCTTCACTTCTCATGATGAGTATGCAATAGGAAAGCACCGACATCACCAAAATGTGGTACCCTGGAGACAAAAATGAAGGTTGCATGGCGCTGACAGTAGATACAAAAGAAGACCAATGACGTAATCCTAGAGGTAGGCAAAGGGAGAAAGACGATGGCAAAACCACATTGAGTGTGCAAGAAAAGCCAAGAGTACAGCCAGGTAAGTGTGAGGTAGGGGAACAAACTGTCAGACCCCAGAAGGCATAATTCTGCAATGTTGAAGCTACAGGCACATAAGACATGACCAAGGAAATACCCAAAGCTCTTGAAGATTAACCAGCTCATCTTCTCCTTATGCACAGGCTGAGAGTAAGGAGTTCTCATGGCTATTTTTGGCCCCATCATTATTCCATTTAACAGAGTCAACAAATAGCTATTAACAGACAATAAAGTTATGTCTTATTTTTTTTTTTTCGAACCTTGACTCTAGTTTTGGCTGCCATTAATCCCAGTACGGAAATCACTGTGGGTAACTGATTTTTTAATTGGGTAACAATTACACTTCAATTGTATTATTTCACTGCCCAACTAACCATCCTGCTTTTAAACAATGGCAAACCATTAATCATTACACTAAGTAGAAGCTATTTATGCAATATATTCTAGACGAAGCTCATTTTATCTTGGCAAAATAGTGTTAGACACCAGAATTTGTGCAGCTTCCAATGAACCTTTAAAATTCTTTGTTTTTTTTTTTTTTAGGTTTTTAAAATAACATTTATTTTTTAAAAGTTAACATGTTTATAATAGGAAACTGAAAAACACAAAAGCAAATAACCAAGTTATCGCTAATCACAAGCAGTTTATAGTTTGATCTGTCCTTCTAGGTCCTGTGTGTTTATCTACACAACTAAGCATCCATTTTTAAGTAATTAAGATTGCAGTTACATATCAGACTTTTTCAAACATCATGAATATTTACCATTTCAATGTCCCAAAGCTACATGAGTATTTTGATAACCAACAATACACTACACCAACTCAATCTGAAAGAAAAACAATGTAATCTTGCCTTTCTTGGAGACAAAAATGGCAATAGGCCTCTAGATAAAGATATCGGCTGAGTTATGATTAAAATACTGCATTCTCTTAACGTTCAATTAAAAATGAGACAAATGCACAGCAACGAAAGCACCCGATTACTGCATTCTACAGATGGAAAAAAAAAAGAGACATCAAGCAACAGAGTACACAAAATATAATACTTTTAAGAGAATTTGATATCTGATCTATACTATTAAAATATTAGCAAGGAGGTAAATTTCCATTGAATTACTTAACAACATGTTCCTGTAGTACAGCCAAAAGAGATCACACACATCTATGGTTATCATCAAAATATAAATATGAACACATCTGCATACATCCCTCCCCCTGTACTTCCTTCAGGCCCTCTGCTGCCAACCTAATGAACTAGTCCTGACGTACATGTCTCAGAGAAAGTTTAACAATTCCATGTCCAAGACGCTTCTTTTCTATCAATTATAACAAAAAGATATTTACAAATTGGTTAATTCACTAGCCCTACTTTTTATCATACAGTGTCACCTCAGGACATCTAAAAAGCTTAGATGTTGCAAAACGAAGAATGAACCTTGCCCACAACAAACACAGGTACTTTACAAAAATGCACATATAGACCTATGATTATAACCTAAAACTGTCTTCTAGATGTGGAGATACCAGCAAAGAGCCCTTCCCTCCATCCTTTCTCGTCTCCCTCCTCCACCATTTCAATTATTAAGTATAGGACCACATCTAATTCCAAGAGGTGGATTAACAAAGACACTCCCAGAAGACAGTCCTTCCTAAAAACTAACAAAAGGGCATTTATAAAAGGATTATTTTACTACTTCTATTTTTTATATACTTTGGGCATTAGGACTTGTTTATCCTTTAATACACTGCAATATTAATTAAAATGCACATATAGAACAATGGTTAGACAATCTGAACTTGTCTAAAGACTCATGGGCACAGAACTCTTCTCTCAGCACTTCCTCCCCTGCCCCTCTCCTCACCACCCAGTGATCAGTCAGCATACTCTCCAAAGCATCAAGTTTAACAAACCCATTCCCAAAATACAACCATTCCTATAATTAACTGAAAAAATACTTAAAGGATATTACTTTAACTCTACTTTTAACATATGTTGTGCACTTTTAGAAACCTAGAAAGACTAGATGTTTCAAATAAGGATTTAAGTTGTCCACTAGACATACAGTAGAATTGAATAAACTGCATACAAAGGCTATAATCTGAAAGTGTCTTCTAAATAGGAACATCTGGCCTAGAACCCTTCCCCGTCTCATCTCTATTAATCCAGTGACAAGTATAATAAGCATTTGTAATGCTTAGAGAGGATTTCCATAATTTCACTTCCTCAAGCTGTTTTCAGAACAATCTTTCCTATTAATTTTAACACAAGGTGTACACAATATTTGCTTTCTAATTCTATTTTTGTCATACACTGGCAAACTTTTTAACATCTAGAAGGACTAGATGTTGTAAATTAGGACGTTTGCCCTTTATATACACTATATACACAGCTAAGTAAAACAAAACGCACAGATATACCGGACTACAGTTAATCCCTGCCTAACTATAAACCTATTGGTATAAAGCCCTTTGCACTTTCCTCTCCTTCTTCCCCAAACCAGCACAAATATAATAACGTGTACTGCTCTGAGAGGTGGTTTGATCATTTTGATCATTCCATTCCATTCCATTTCTAAGACAATATTTCAAATGAATTTAACAAAAGGGTACCTACAAAATGTGTTATTTGACTACTTCTACTTTTAACATACTTTGTGCACTTCTAAACATCGAGAAAGACTAGATATTTCATATAAGAACTTACTTGTCCGCTATGTACACAGCACGGTTAAATAAAATTGCACATACATAACAGTGGTTATAATCTGAGGTGTCTTCTAAATACTACCATTTTGGCCTGAACCATTCCCTCCCTCATCTCCTTCTCTCCACCACCAATCCCGTGGACAAGTATAGGTGTGTGTAATGCTTAGAGGTGGTTGAAATTCATATCCAAAAGCCATTTGCAGAAGGCAAGCTTTCCTATGAATCTCAATACAAAGTGTACAAATTGTGCTAATTTTACTAACTACTTAGTAAAAAACTGGCAACCTCTTTTAACATCTAGAGACTAGATATTGCAAAATTAGGACTCATTGGTCCATTATATACACAGCAAAGTAAAACAGAATGCAGGAACATAAGGGACAATGGTTAATCTTGCCTCACTATAAACTTACTGGCATAGAGCTCTTTGCACTTCCTTCTCCCTTGAACCAGTGCACAAACACAGTGTGTACTGTTCAAAGAGGTGGTTTGGTCATTCCCTCCAAAATAAACAACAATATTTCATATGAATTTTAACAAAAAGATATTTACAAAATGTCTTTTTACTACCTCTACTTTTAACATATATCAGACACTTCAGAACATCTAGAAAGACTAAATATTTCAAAAAAATACCTAGCATTGTCAACTATACATACAGTAGTGAGGAATAAAATGCACACAGAAAACAACGGTTATAATGTGAAAACGTCTTCTAGATATGACCAGGCAGGCATAGAACCTTCTTTTCTTCCTCCTCAAGGTCTTCTACTCTATGTCCTCTAACCCACTGAATGAATGTGTACATGTGTCTCCTGATGTTGCTGCTAGTGGTGGTCTAACAATTCCATTTCAAAAAGTCATTTCCAGAAGCCATTTATTTTCTATGATTATTTTAAAAAACAAATGAGCATTTGCAAGACGTGATTTTTTGACTCTATCATCATACGTTGGCAACCTCTTTACATCAAGAAGGCTTAGATGTAGCAACAGTTTTCTTTTGAAAGGTTGAGGGGCAAGTTGAGAGCAGCTTTTTCATATTATACACACAGGCCTTCTATAAAGTGCCAATAAATCTTCCCAAAGGGGGGTGGGCACTTCCTATTGGCCACATGGGGTATGTTTTTCTACCATTTATATCTTCCAATATCAAGGTCTGGTGAAGGCGATGGCCCGCTAAATGTTCCACCTATCATAGGCTGGGGCTCCTCTCACCTTCAGGCTTCATTAAGGCCTTTTTCCGGACGAGGGGAGACCTCGTCCAATTGGGACAAAGCGGTCATCCCACGCCCTGGATCTGTGTGGCTCTAAGGCCTAAGGGTGGCTGACTTTGCGTCCACGTAGACCCGCCTTCTCGGGCCCGCCAAGGCCCTAACGGCCCTCTTTGGTGGCCGCCACTCTTCTCGCCCCACCCCGCTTGACGCCCAAAAGCGTCGCATCCTCCGTGGCTCGGTGGGGGCTCCGCCCAGGCCCCACAAGGTTGGGCCAGGAGACCAGGCGGTTGGTAGTGTCTGGCCTGCGTGAGGCCGCCGCCATTAGGCCGCGGAGGTGCGGATGGAGGGAGAGGTTCACCGCTGCTTCAAGGTCTGCGCCCGGCCTGTAGGCAGCGCAGCCAAGGCTCTAAGTCTCTGCAGGACAGAGCCCGTGGCCTGTCCCCTGACTCCCAGCTCACCCACTGGCCCGCCGCTGGACCACCTGGAGGGCCCTGGGAGAGAAGGCCCGTCTCCGCTTCTCACTGTGTTCTCTGCTGGAATTAAGAAATTCTTAAATTGAAAACTGCTGGAGGTCAGGAACCAAAGTTAAGTCCATATGGAGCTCAGCTGGCCCATAGTTAAACTGAATTATTAAGCAATTATGAAAAATTGCCTTTTATTTCATTATCTAAGTGATGGCTATCATTAATTTTCAGATATCTCCCTCTTTAAATCTCATAGCTGAAAATATTGCTTTGTGGGCTCCTTCCTCAGCTACAGTGACCCATTTTCAAAGCCATACAAACTTATGAGAGGCATCAGGCTTCAGCCCAGGTGACAGCAAGCGACTCAAATAAATACAATTGCCTTGAGTTTCTATAACTGAGTAGGTCAAGTCCTATAGAGGCAGCATGTAATGAAAGCATTAAAGTGGCATTTTCCATCAACTACAGAAACAATTAGGTATATGGGTTATTCTAGAGTGAACAAATTCATGTTCTCAAAATCTCCAGCATTTATTTATTTTAGAGCGTTTTAAATACGTCATCACCTCAGAGATTTTGGAGATACAGATATGAAACCTGATAATATAACTGGCCAGACATGATTGAGAACCTGAATGGCCAGAGTTCCCTGCTGAGTCACCCAAAATTAAAGAAAAATTGAAGTATTTTTGTCTGAATCCACAGCCCAACATATAGAAGGCTTATTGCAATTTGTTTCTCCAATATCCGCATATGAGTTGTAGGACTACCAGATCCTAGAGAGAGGGGTCTTCTTATGTGTTGAGAAGACCTTTACTGCTGTTGCTGACCCCCCAGGAGCCATTTATTCTGAACTGCTGAGCCCTTCAAAGCTCGGGGAGCCGTGACTACTTGCTCCAGAACTCAGACATGAGAACCGCTTCTGAAGAACCCGTAACTTAAAGTTGTAGTTTACCCTAGAGTTTTATCAGACTAGACTATTTGCATTTCTTTAGGGAACTTATAAGAATCTAGACATCCTAACCGGGACTGCAAAGCTATGGGGCAGGGACCTTCTACTGATGCTCAAACTTCTCAAACTCATTAAATTACAACTAAGAAGACAGGACAATAAAATAAAAGGAAGAAACTCTAATAAAATAGAAGCAGGATGCATTAAAAAGCCCAGACCACTTTCTCCTAGCCTTTCCATGGTTGTCAAAACTCTGCAGCTCAACAGTCCAGCATCTAAACCAAGATGAGTGCCTTATGATTTTCTGGACCAAGAGCCTTGTGCATCCAGCTCAGCCCAAGCTGCATGGCTCAGCAGAGGTTGAGCACCCCTAATCTCAGGCTCTACTCAGAAAAGACACACCACAGCTGGGAGCTCAGGCCACGAGGTTCCCGAGACAGAGGCTGCAGGAAGGACGCATACCTGTTCTGGTGGCCCATGGGCCAGGGTCAAGCTTAGCCGGGCGAAGCCTCCACGCGCTGCCTCAACAGCTTTATTTCCAAAAGGGTCTGTCCAAAGAGGACCAGGAGGGGCATCATCAGCGCCGCCAATCAAAGACCGTCCATTCATCCTTCCTTTCTCTCCATACACGACCAAGGGCAGAAATACGTGACTCAGCAGGACGCGTGCCCTGGCTCTGATGAGGGCATGAAATGCAAGATGGAGGGATGCAGGAGAGCACCCTCTGGGTTCCTGGGGAGAGGAGATGTGGCCCCTCTAACAGAGAAGACAGTCTTCTCCATCAGCAAAGAGCTCCATCAGCAAAGAGGGACAACCAGCTGATTACACACATTGAATGTTCGTTTTACTTTGCTTAAAACAAAACAAAACAAAAATGGAGGCAAATCATCCTGCACTGAGACCAACGCACAGATTTTGTTCTGCTGCATTTCTCCACTAGTAGGAGGTTGACAGATCTGAAGCCTGTTCCAGAGGAGGGATGGGCTTCAGGCTTGCTCTGAAATGCTTCAGGCAAACTGTTAGGGCTCCATCCTGGGGACCAACATTAACGCAACAATTTCCTTCAGCTTTGTTCTTTACAAATGCGAGAAGAAGAAGGTATGGTGTGGGCTCTATTTTCTGCAATAAGAAACTAGCCACACTTTTAATGCACAGCAGAAACCCAGTCTAAGAGACTGCTAATGGCATTTTTTCTTATATCTGAATAAGAATCGTTAAATATTGGACATCACCTTGTTAATAATGAACAGTTATTAGTTGAATCCAACAAGTGTGGCAGCTTTTTATGTTTTATTTTTCTTTCTTTTATAAAACTTCCATTGCATCCAAGGATATCATTCTTACTTCAAAAGTTCCAGAAAAGTTGTGTGTGTGGTGTTTCTTTTATTCTCCCCCTTTTATTTAATTTTTACCAGAAGCAGTGACTGTTCTGACAGATATATCCCCATGCCTCAAAGTGAGCCTGACTCTCCTGTATCACTGACACATTCACAACAAGGCCTGTGTGTGTTGAAGTTAACATCCTAAGAATATTCTGGAAGCTGCACCTGATAAGCTTTCCAGCAGGAGTTGGAAACCACTTTTTGTAGCCCAGATCACTAGTGAAACAAGCAGGACTCATCATTCTAACATGAGGCAATATCAAGATTTCAATTCAACCAACATTGCTTATTTTATTATGTGAAATAAAACTCATTCTATTGTCAGCATACATTAGAAATTTGTGGAGTTGGAGAGACCTGAAAGTCTTTAATTTTCTATGTCTCAAGTATCCCTTTTAAAAATAATATAAACTTTTGGATATAGATATAGAAGAAAACATTTAAACATTAATGCTCTATTATAATAAAGAGACTTTCAGCACTGACATTTATTTGGTACTTACAATAATCTTAATTTTGGGTAGTACTCAGTTTTCTTTAAAGCTGTAATCAGAAACAAAGAAAATGCTGTCAGATATTCCTGTGTCCTGATTAAAACACTTCTCTCCTTGGAACACACCACTCCTAGAAGCCTCGAGGTCTGAATTCCATGCCATAAAGTGTAGCTGCAAAGAAGCTGCCCAATCGTGGCTTCAGTGTGGCTGGCCAGTTCTCCCGATGGTTATCATGCGCAATCCCTTCAGCGTGTCCCAGCACATGCAGAAAAGTCCATTAAACCATAAATGGAAAGGACCATTTCCAGTACCCCAATTCTTTTTTGAATTCTCCAACTTTACTTAACTATTTCAAGAACATGAGCTCAAAACTATACAGCGTTGATGAACTCAGAGTCATTTAGCACAGCAAGTGGACTCCTTGCCGAAACCCCTCTTCCACATGGAGCTCAGGTGTGACTTCCACCCTGCTCCAGAAATCATAAACAAAGACCTTGCTTTCAAGCTTCCAGGAAGAAGCCCGGGGGCTTGGTAAATTGCTTTCTAGTCTACCAGAACTCTAACTCTGCTGCTTCTACTCAATTCTGACCATCTGAAACATATTTGTCCATTAAAAAAAGAAAAGGGAAAAAGAGCCAAAATTAGAAGACAAACCCCCAACAATGAACAGTTGGAAATGAATAGAAATGAGGACGGTACTCACACTCCGGCTGGCTTTCTGGTGACAGAAGGCACTGGCCGATAAAGCCCTGGTTGGCTCTATTGAAAGGGAGGCTGCTTAGAAGGAGATAGTGCCGGGAGGAGGCACCCAACTGTTTTATACTCAGAACCCCACTCTGCATGTCGGTGCACTCTGCTTTCTCCGCCCACTGTAGGCACCAGTGCCAAAGCATTGCCGAGGAACTGGTCCCCTGTGCTGTACCTGATGTCTCTCTCTTTCTCTCTGTTCTTGATTCCGTGCCAACATTTTTGCTGTAGTTTCTGCCGGGTTCCGAGGTCTTTGCCCAACAATTATGGCTATTCAAGATCATCTTTTTCTTCTCTAAGCTGTTTCCTCTAGCTCCTACGCTCACCCTGAAATATTTTGGGGAAGATATGTAACTGAAAATGATCAGCACACTGTCTTTTACTCTAAAAACTGAGGGACAGGTTGCTAGACAGTGGACTCTGGAGCTAAGTGACTGCCCCCGGGGAGGAATTTTCTGACTTGTTACAGCTTCTGCACAGGTGTAAGAATCCAGCAAAGTCCTGAGGGGCATGGTGTGAGAGTGGGGAGGACAGGGTATACAATTTGTTTTCTGGAAACCAACCTGCCCTTTTCCCCAGTGAGGAGAAAACAAAAATAGAAATGTTTCCCTGGAATGTACATCTTTCCCGGTGAGAATCCCTGGACAAACTCTGCTGCCTTTTAAAAGGTTTAGGAGGCAAACCTTCCATAGCAGAGCAATCCCAAAATCAAGTGAAAAATCCCTTTCTTCCCCATTCCTCTTAAATTTCAATTTTGTGGCTTGTTCTGTTAAGGCAGAAATATAACTAACTCAGGTGCTCTTCTATGAGCACAGAATAAAATAAGCAAACAAACAAACAAAACAACCCACAGAAAGCTGCACAGATGCCATTGGTCTTTCTCTCCTCTGGACCTCCCGCCCTCCTGGGTGAGCTGATAGCGCTTCTGGGGGGTCACCAAGGCAGCGGGCAACTCTCTGGCTCCACCCACTGGACACTTGCCAAACCACAAGGTTCCTGTCCTCTTGGGGACCCGCTCCCTTCGGGTGCCCTCTGCAGCTCAGGACCTGTGTGTCTGGAGCCTGGGAGGGAGATCATAAGTCCAGGTTCATGATTTGATTTTTGAGGTTCAGGCAAATCTCCCTCCAACATTTTTTTTTCCTGGTAAAATAAGGAGAAAATCAACTCCTAAGGTTACCCTGAAGGAGAAAAACCAATCACTAGAGAAGGTTCTGAGGGCCTGCTGTAGGAATGAAGGGAATTATGCTAGTGTTCTCATGAGTTCTTTATGCAAATTGGTTACAATCCTTCACAGTACTAATAATGATAATGATAAGAATTTCACAAATGGTTGAGCATTCACTCTATGTGCTTGGCGCTGTGCTGAGCACTTTATCTGCATTGGTCATTTAACCATCATAAAAATCCTATGAGGTAAATGCCATTATCCCTATTTTGCAGACAAGGAAACTGAGGCTCAACAGACTTGAAATAACTTGTCCAAAGTCTAACATCAAACTTTGTACTTTGGTGTGCTCCAGCACCGTCCAATATTTCCAACTTCTGCCCAGTGTTTGCTTTTCATTAATTAACCCGATGAACTCAACCATTAACACATATTTATAGACCTCATCTGGAAGTCGCCTCTACATGGCACCCTGGCAGCCTTCTGCCTCAGTGGCCCTGGTCACGGGCTAAGGGTGTGGATTTAGTCTCAAGTCTTCTTGGCAGAGCCACCTCCTCCTCCACCCTCCCTGGCCTCTCCCCCATTCCCTGTAAAGCCACACCAAGTGCTACTCACAAAATACAGCCTTGCTTTATGGTATCCACAAGATAGAGCAAAGCATGTGGAATTCTGAGTCAGACAGACCTGAGTTTGAATCTTTGCCTTGTCTCTTACTAGCTGTCTAACCTTAAGTCAGTTACTCATCCTTTCTTAACCTCAGCTTCCCCACTATAAAGTGAGGTATGTTTACTTCCTTTATAAAGTTGTGATGAGGTTTGGCAATGATATACGTAGAGCTCTGTATCTGACATGGGAGGTGCCACCATTCTGATGTCTGCCTCTCTCAATCAGCGTTGGTTTCTCCTTGAGCATTCCTGAAAGGGTCCCTCTTCCCAGCTTCAACCATGGGAAAAGCTTCTTCCCGGCTCTGACATCAGAAGGGATGTAGGTATGAGCCTGGAAACAACTATTTGGCAAGAATCCTAAACCAGGTGGCTGATGCCGCTCACCAAGTTCTCCTACTGCAAGAGCCCAAGATGCCACGGTCTGATGCTGCCCAGTTGGTTTGGCTTTGGAAAGAACCCCTAAGCTGGAGATCAGAGGGACAATCGGGCACCCAATAACGAGTGCATACCTGGGGTGTTTTTAAGCAGCTCTATTGCACACACCAATGACTTTTTCTCAGTTCTTTCTCCAGAACCTCCTGGTATCATTTACAGAGCATCATTTGCTGGGCGGTTAAGCCCTGACGTTGTTTCCCTTTCCGGTCTCCGCTGAGTCTTCCCCAGTGCTCCTCCTCGGTGTTTGCCCCTCTCCTGGTTCTCTGATCTCATCTGCCACCCCTCCCTCTGGCTTAATCACAATCGAACATACATAGAGCTTTTCCTCCTTTTTAGGTTTCTCTATAGAGGTTCTGCCCCTAGAAAGTTCTCTCGCTCCATCCACTCTGCCCAAACGTTCATACCCAGCTATCTTTCCTCCTCTATTTGGATTTCCCAACTGACTCCCATCCATGCCGCACTTCTGGAAACTTGGAGCAATTTATGTCCATATTCCTCACTGGACAAGTGACCGCAGCCCCTGGCCCTGCAACTGCTCTGCTATTCTCTTTTATTTAAAAAAATCTTTTATGCTGCACAGTCCCACCTGGGCTGGAAGACACTGGACGACAAGGTCAGGATCTCTTTATCCATAACAGATCTCTTTCTTTCCAGAAAGGTTTTGAGGAAGTTCATAAAATACGCATAAGAGGTGATAAAACTAGATGAAGAAATGATGAAGAAGGGAGAACAAAACTGTGGATAATGATATGATTAAAATAT